TGGAGATTTTTTGCTAATTATTTTTGAATTTCGAATCGATGTTGATTGATTTCGTTTTCGTTTTCGGGGATGATGATCTAAATTTTCTTGATTGATTGATTTTGTTTTGTTGTTGGATTTTCTTTTGAAACAAGGAATATTACAGGAAAAAAACAAAACAACAACAAACAAACAAACAACACAGACAGTTTTTTTTCTCGGATTCCTATTTTGTGCTGCTGCTGCTGTTGGATTCTCTAAATTAGAGAGAGAGGGGGGAGATTCTGGATTCTTTGCTCAATTTTTTTCTTTCGTTCGTTAGTTGTTGTTGATGTTGGTCGATTCGATTCGTTGTTTTTGCTTTGCCAAGGGAGAGAGAGAAAATTTCGGTTTTCTGGTGTGGGGAGAGATTTTTTTGCTTTGTTCGGTTCACATCAAGAATATAATATTCTGGTTTTTTGGCTCAACCAACGATGATAATTTTTTGGATGATGGTAGTAGTAGTGGTAGTGATTTTCAAAAGAATCTACTTGGAATTCAAAAAAAAGAAGAAATTCTTGCACCAGAAAAGAACCAGAAATTTGGTTTGTTTGGATTCGATTCTACTGTCGATGATGATGAGATTTGGATAACAACAACAACTAGTGGTAGCAGTAAATGAGTGACAATATTCCAGAAACCCGAAAAAAAATCTGATAATCAAAATAGTGGTAGTGGTATTTTACAACGAAAAAAACAAAATCCAAAACAAAGATAGTGGTCAGTGGTTATATTGATGAGAAAAAAAAGAAGGAGTGGCGATGGTGGATATCTTTTGGATATACTGTTACTATTTATGACAAAACACCACCGCCACTACTCTTTCTATATATATCCGGTATTTTGATGGAAAATTTTTCATATAGCCATCATCATCATTATCATCGTCGTTCGGTGGTGGATTTTCATTTCCATTTTCCAAAGATCCAGATCCATTTTGTCGATTTCAATTCGGAAAAAGAGGAAATGCTATATAGACATTTGAACAGGGAATACCACTTCCTTTTTTTCCACTTCCTTTTTTTGATGATATATAGATGATATGAATGCAGTCCAAGGAAATGTTCCAAACAGAAAGAGAAATGATATTTCTGGTATCATTGTGGTAGTGGTAGATATTTTTTTTTTAATTTTCTGGGTTCCACATAACTCAGAGAACACATCATCATCGACAATGATAGAAACGAAACCAGATCAAAAAAAAAAAAAATTAGCAGAAACGGGCGTCGTCTCCACTCTATATAGTTATTGTCGAAATAGAATCCATATAATGAAACCAGAACGAACCAGAATGGATTCTTTCTTTGAAAAAAAACCCCGAATGATAACCAGAAAAAAGATTCATCTGGTTATATAGAATATTGCCCAAGAAAATGAAGAATTTACCGGCAGAATCCACACAACAAAAATCGAATCGGGTTGGCGCAAGCACATCAATGTTTGGGCGTCGTCATCATCGTTTGATGATTGAAAATTGATAAAAATTATTTTTCCTTTCTGGTGATTTTTTTTTGGGATAATTCTACCACTACTATTGATCTTTGGGTTTTTGTTGGTTTGGTTGTTGATGGTGGTTAACGGTTCGAAAAACCAAAAAATCGGATGTTGACGTTTGATGATTGGATGATGAGGAGGAAAAAATTCGTCTGCATCATTTTTTTGTTGTTGTTGTTGATTCATGATGATATTTGAAATGCCAGAAATATTTGTTGATCATTTTTTTGTTTTGTTGAATGAAATTTTTCGTTTGGTTTGAAAATCAAATGGAATCTGGATTTGATTCGAGTTTAGTTTTTTTTTCCTATCCGAAAATTATAAACATCGGATATAGGAAATAGAAATAAACAACTCAAAAAAATGATGAACGTCATTTGTGAACGGGAATAGATTCGAATTCGAATGTTTAAATTCATCACCGGTTTTTGTTTTCACGAAAAAAATTTTTCAATTTTCAAATTTTTGTTCAAAGACAAAGAAAAAACACAATATAATTCATATATATAGAATAAAGTAACATTTTGTTTCAAAAAGAAGAAAACATCTTCTTCCATCACTATTTTCAATCAAATTTTAACAATTTAAAAGTTTTCAATTAATTTAAAAATAAAACAATAATAATAATAATAATAATAATGAAAAATATAAATCTAAAAACAAGTCTTGAATCAAGTTTCATTCGATCCAAATGGACAATCATTTGTTAGACGATTAAATCTTGGCGGTATTGGTGGACGTGGTTGTAATTCAATTTGGCTATTACAATTTTTTTGTTGTTGAATTGATGATAATGTTGTCGCTGTCGTTGTTGTTGGTAAATTTGAATTTAAATTTGATGATGATGATGATGCAACAGCAGCAGCAGCAGCTTGTGCAGCAATTGCCGGTATACCATAACTAGTAAATTTATCACCAACTTCATTTGTATATTTTATATTTGTATATTCACGGCCTGCTTGTAAACTTTTCTGTTAAAGTTTTTTTACAAAAAAAAATTACTAAAATTTACAAAAAAATCAACAACAAAATCAACAAAAAAACTTACATGTTCAGCCTGTATCCTTTGTTGTAATGTATTTACATAATGTTGTATAGCCAGATAAACAAATTTATATTGTGCAATTGTTTGTACAATACCGGAACGTTTTGTACGTACAATTTGTATTGTACGTTGTATATCAATTTCACAATCTAAACCATGTTGATTAATTTGATCAATTAATATATCGATAACGATAAACGTTCCGGTACGACCAATACCGGCACTACAATGTACAATAATTGGTCCATTCGATTCATCATCATTGATTATTGATTCTTGTTTACAATTTATTTCATGTAAAAAATTTAATACACAACCTGGATCGGATGGTACACTATGATCAGGCCATGTCATAAAATGATAATGATAAACAATACGATAATTTTTTCCACCACCATCAACATGATGATCTTTATTATCACCATTATCAACATTAACATTATCATTATTATTATCATAATGAATACGAAATTCTCTTAATGTATGATGTAACATTATTTTTTCCGATATTGTTTTCACAGTCAATTTTCCATATTTTATTTGTTGATCTTTATCCGGCCAATAACGTACACATTTTGATTTACTACGTTCAATTTCTTTTGTTATCATTACAATTATTGAACAATTTTCATGCCAAACCATTGACCAAAAATCATTTTTTGTATTAGCTAATGGTCCTTGTGTTGCTATATAAATTTTTTTACTTGGTTGATTTGTTAATTCATCTTCCACCTGTTTACAAAAACAAAATTACAAAAAATTACAAAAAATCGAAAAATTATCTCAACAAAAAAACTCTATTCGAAACTATTTTTACCTGAATATAATTAGCGTTAATATAGTCGGATGTGGATGAAGAATTTTCCATATTACCATCATTATCATTAACATTCGAATGAATATCTTTCAATATAACTCTTGTACGATCAACTTGAAAAACGAAAAGAGAAAAGAGAAAAAATCAGTTAATCAACTCTTAATTCTTGATTTTAAATCAAATTGAAAACACATACATGGTAAAATATTTTTAAAACGATTTTTATTTCGATTTTCCTGTTGTTCACCGGCTCTTCTTGAATAAAGATGTTTACATGCTTGTTGTTGTAGATACTGTTGGATAACCGGAAAAACAGAAAAAAAATTACGAAATGTGAAAACAAAACAAAACAAACCTCAAATTCTTCCCAAAATCCAGTTTTTCTTTCACGATCTTTACGTTGATCACCTTGATCTTCTTTTGATAAAATTTTAACACGATTTTCAATTGTTGATGCTGTAAATTTGGTTGTATTAAATGGTGAACGTAAATTAACAACCGTACCGCTTGTTTCAACAATAGGATTACGTTTACAATAATCAATTAGATCGGTTAATGAATCAAATTTTTCACCACCACCAAAATCATATTTAGATTGTTGACAATAAATTTTTACATGCGATATTTTATCATCAATCCGTACGGTTAATACATAATCACCTGGTTTTCTTGATTTTCGTACTAAAAAACTGCCATTTTTTCCTTTTTCCAATATTTGTTTTTCCGCTTCTTGCGGTGTTATGTTACCATGAAACCAACGTTCCGATGTTGGATCATCCGATATTAATGGATATTTTAAACGTATTATACGATTACGATTATTACGATCACGTATTTGATCAGGATTTTGCATATAATGATGTATTAATTCAATTAATGATACAAATTTTTCACCACCATGTAGATCATATAAATCATCATCAGTATTATGTATTTTTATATGTGTTAATTGACCATCATTTAATACGGATAATGTAAAATCACCTGGATGTGAATCGGATGGCCGAACGAGAAATGAACCATCAACACCACGATCAACTAACATTTTTTCCGCTGATATTCGATCAATATTTGGATGAAACCAACGTCCTCTATAATGAGAAAATCAACAAATCAAAAAATCAAAGAAATCAAACTTTCCCTTAAAACAAACCTTGAATTAATCAACGACATTGTTATCGTATTGTTCATTTATTAACAAGTTTAGCTTTTTCTTCTTCTTCTTTGAAACAAGAGATTTTATTCATTTAAAAAACAATGATGATGATTTATCATTATGGATTATGGATCATCACTAAAAAATTTTGAAATTTTGAGTAGAATTTTGGGAAAGAAAAGCAAAACAAGAGAGAGAAAACAAAAACAAAAACAAACAAGAAATATGCTGTTGTTTATCTAAATCAATCAATCAATCAATCAATCGATCAGCAATCGAACAACGCATTCCGAAAGTATGTGAAATATACAAGTGTTTTGTGTGTGTATATTGCTGGTGGTATATTTGTTGTTGCTCACCATTCATTCCCCATTCCATTCACCAAACGAAAACATCATCATCAATGGGAAAAAGACACCCACTCAATATTTTTGTTATCATTTAAATTCGAGTTTTTATGGAACCGGTATCGCCATCTATCGGTTTTGAAAGATGGTTGAAAAGTTGATTTTTTAGAATTTTTTTTCCTTAAATTTTTTGAGAAAAAAAAAAACAAAATTTTTAATTTCTGTTTTGGAAAAAAATATTTTTTTTTTTTATAAAAAAAATGCACCGATGTCAGGAAAAGAATATCTTTTTGTTTGTTTTTTAGGAAAAGAAAATTTTCTTCTTTAAAAAAAAACGAAATTCACTCTATACAGAAAAAAAGTTTAACTAAACTAATAATTTTTTTTTTTTTTTTTTAATTTTGGATTCCATTGAAGGGGGGACATTATTGGGTTGAAAAAGGGGGGGGGGGGGGG